ATATAAAATATATAAAATAGGTGTCTTTGTTTTCAGTGTCAGAAAAAAGAAGAATTTATTGAAAGAATCCAAGGTCTGGATTTTGACACTAGAGCAGCTGTTGCAGCCCATATTCAAGAGGTATATTGGGGGTTTTGTGCTTTTACTTTATTTGGAGGTGGAATATTGTATTGTAAGAATATGATTTGCATTTGTTCAAAAGCAAGTAAATAAATATGTGATTTGTATATCTAATGTTTTTAGTAAGCAAAAAAGGCCTTTATTTTTTAACTCGATTAACAAAAAGATATGTGATTGAGCTCTTTTGGGTTACGTTGTTAAAGCAGTACCAGGGAGCAAGTTTGTTACTCCAAGAATTTCTTAGAATTACAGTAAATTTAGTTTAGTGAAATTTTCCTATGCGAATTTATTTATAAAATATAATTCAAATCCCATGTATGTGATATGTAATACGTGTAACCTTTTGCTTTTTATTTTGCCAAAAGTACAAGGTACTACTTTCAGGTAGACAAGAAACTATTCTGTTACATGCAATTTAATCTTATTTTAAATGTTTTTTCATACCTTGTCTAGAGAATTTAATGCATAGAGTCTCAGCTTTATTTTCTTCATGCTTCCTTTCTAGTCTTAGAATTTATAGAGGATGTTTTTTTCTCTTCCATTTCATTCTGTGTAGGTAACTCATAATCAGGAAAATGTGTTTGATCTGCAGTGGATGGATGTCATTGTATTGACGCAAGAGTATGTTGAACCTCTCTTGAAAAATATGGCATTACATTTAAAAAGACTTATAGATGAAAGAGATGAGCACTCAGAGGTATGGATGTGGTTTGTTGTTTAAGAGAAATATAAGAATAATTTTTTTTTTTAAGATGGTACAGCTTACTATTTATATAACTAATAGTTTAACGTATGTTCTGTTAGCCTATTTAAGCAAGGATTCCTTACTGCCAGAAAGTTGTTTCAGGTAGTTAAGTCTGCATACTAGTTGTTGAATACTGTGACAAACTAGAAAAGATAATAGCAGATCATCTTTTTCATGTAACTAGAGTCTGAAACAACTTTAAATAACATTCATCTGTGGTTGAAAACAGAAAATCCAAAGCTGTATCAGCTGAAGTTTCCAGGAACGAGTAACCTAACCGTTTGCAAGCCAGTCACTGAAAGATGCCTGTTACATTACTGTATCCTATTCTACAGGTGTCAGTGAACTAGAGCAGAATCCATACTAGGAGAGGTTTTGCAAGCCTATCGGGAGGCACAATCATTGTACTGTGTGAGAATCAAGAAACAGAAATGTATTTAATAAAAATTGCAAGTTATGAATCATCTTGATGGTCCCAGATTTGCCTCTCAGTAGAGTGTGGATATGTTAATGTTGCATTATTCGAAATACTTGTTTAACAGTTAGCAACTGTCTTCCAGTTCGTAGTCTTGATAAAAGTAAAACAGAAATTTAACCGTGAGGGGAGAGGATGTGTGGTAACGCTTTTTTGCAATGCAAAGGAGAAGTAACTTTAAAATACAAAAGATCTTCATATTAGGATAACATCTTTATTTATATGATGAAATAGGAATATTCCTATAGGTAATTATTCAGTTGGCATGGATGCTGCTGCTCACGGAAGAACACCGGTTTCTTTAGAGATCTATATTTATCCTCGTATTCAAGGAATTCTTGGCCTTTTGTTACCCAATCCATTCTGAACATTTATAATTTTGTGGACTTAAAGGTCTAAATTTGAATAGTTAAAGAGTAGCCAAACAGTACTGTTAAATAGTTGTGACTATTTGCTTTAGATATAGAGGTGTATAGAGGGCTTTTAACTTCTTTTATGACAAAACTTTACCATTATTCTTGCTTCATTTCAGTCTTTGATTTATTAAGGCAGTGAACGATATTAGTTTCTGACATAAACGACACTCTGCATGCAATCTTATACTACTTTCCTTTCTCACTTTCTCTTTTTCTTTTTTTATTTCTCTCTTTTTTTTTTTTTTTTTTTTTAAAAATTTTTTTGACTATCATAGAACTCTCAGAAGAACGGGACTGTCTCCGTTTTCTACCTCACGCATCGACAGCACAATCACCTTGTGGATCTCCTGGCATGAAACGCACTGAAAGCAGACAGCACCTGTCAGTAGAGCTAGCAGATGCCAAAGCAAAGATAAGGCGGCTTAGGCAAGAGCTGTGAGTACATGTAGATTGCAGAAGTGTGTCCAGAGTCATAGGGTTTTCAAATTGTTGATTTCGCACAGTAGTAGTACTCTCTAGACAAATTCTTCGTCCTTTCAAATGTTAAATTACAGTTTTAAATGGTTCTTTTAGTTATTGCACCGCAGGAAGCATGTTTTTATAATGTAAGCATATTTATGGACCAGTGTAACAAACACAACTTTTCATCTGTGTTTGTCATAATTTGTATTATGGATTAGATTGATGTTTTAACCATAAACATAACTGGAATCAGTGAACTAGTGCTGGGATAATTTTGTATCTTTTGTGCTCTGAACTTTCTGAAAAACTAACTACGTTTGAGCAATGTCTTGAGCATGTTACAATACAGTAACAGGCTTTTTGCTCTACGTAAATTGTTTGCCTTTTAGAAATACTCCTAGCTAATCTAATGCAGTGGTGCCTTCTTTCTTTTACATATTGTGTCCATGTTGTTTCAGAAGCAGGTTCCTTGTGCTTCCTCTATTGTTCATTATCATTAATGAATGTCTGCTGTAGTTTTATTGTATCTGTATTCATATATGTTTCTAAGAGAATAGCTTTGCAGTTGAGGCAATTATGGGGTGACACACACTCAAGAACAATTACATGGGGCTGGCAGGTAGGGACTGGAAGCAAGAGCTGTGTCCTGACCATTCAAGGATTAGTGGCAAAAATGTCCTTTTTAAAAGGAGATAGTGCTGTAGCGATTCCGTATTGGCAGCATGAGTAAGTTACCTGTCTCTTGTTGGAAACAGAGTAAGAAATAGCCATCTATGGTTCATTCATGGTTTATGAAACATTTGAATTTGTTGCAGATAAGAAAAAAATTAGAAGAATTTTGTGTCCCCCATCTCTTGGTTTCTTTCTATGTAGAAGATTCCTTGTCTGCATAACACTTGTTTGCTCATGCCCTTCAATACTGTTCCACTTCCATCTGCCATGCCACTCTACAGAGAAAAATGAAAGAAAGAAAGAAAGAAAAAAAAACTATGCACACCAAACTGCACTAAATCTCTTGACCCACTGCAAACCTGGATGCATTGAAACAGAATGAGTTTACTGACAAGGGGTGGTTATTTAAGTCTAAGGAATAATGTAATTTGTAAAATGAGTAGATTTTATAGCTTAGGTCAGTTACAGTTTCTTACATTTTCCAACTTGCTACCTTCATCCAGTTAAGGGAGTGCTTCCTTCATCCCCTGGGGCTAACCTGTTAGATAAGGGGTATATTCCACTCCTTCACCTCATCCAAGTACTGTGAAAAATCAGTCCCACTGTAACAAAGATCTTTATTTTTCATATTCTAATGAAAACTTCTTTTATCCCTTCTATTTTATAAAGAAAATTGATTCAGTTAGTATCAGTGGGTACTTAGTTTGTCTTCATAGTCTAGGAACAAATCTGAGCAGTAGTGAGAAATTGTTTAAAGAGAAGAACAATAGTAGTCTAGTGGAGAATCTGTTCTCCCTATAGCAATGTGTAATGTTGTTTTAGCAGAGTGAAGTATGTGCAGTCTGAACTTAAAATACAAATGTTAAATCTGAAGAAACTCAATATATATAGTAACTTGCCTATAGTTTAGAAACAGCGTAAATGAAGTTGTGGTTTTGTTTTTTTTTTTTTTTTAATCCAGCATGTCTCATGGAGAGAGGAGACAGGTAAAATCAAATGAAAAGTTGAAGGTAGCATAAGTCACAATTATCAGCTGGCTGGTCTGCTCTTACCAGGGTTTGTTGATCAGATCACCTCTAGCTGGCTGGATTAAGTATCTGGTTGATTTACTCGGAGGATCCCCTTCCCCCACTACATCTTGGTCTTCATGAAGAATAGAGGACAAAAAGATAGGGTTCTTTTTTTCTGATGTCTGTATTATTACGTGTCTACTGAAATGAGCCCGCCCAGGATATTCTATAAACAGCTGCACCAAGAAAATTAGTGAAAAAATTGCTGTTATTAGTTTGATTGACAGTTAATAGATAGCCTAAACAGTGAACACTGGTATGTTCTGTATAATTTAGTACAATCCTCTCTAGGCTTTAGCTGAAGCATGCAATTAGGGCAACAGTGATGGCTCGGAACATTTAGCATTTTGCACTCTATTTGAATTAAATTGGTAAATAAATTTCCTTTACTTGTGGCAGTATATTTAAAATACTAGACTTTGATAAATTAACTTCTGTCTGTAGCATTTGGTATTAAATGCTGCATGTATTTGATAAATTTAAAATTGGATTTATTGCAAAGTCAAAAATACTCAGCTTAAAATTTATTTATAATCCAGTTTTGGCAAAGAACCTTCATACCTGGTTTGATATGCACTGCAGCTAGTATAATTTCATACAAAAGGTCTGTAAAGATTTATTTTTTTTTTCAATTGGATGCAAAACAGCAATTTGAGGCTTGTAACATAGAAACTCCAGAACTGGAAATTACATGCCTAATTTTCTGTATTAAGTCCTATGTGTTTCTACGTAGAACAATAATACAGGAATATGAATGTAAATGGATAAGTTACAGTAACCTAACATAATACTGAGTACGTTTGTATTTCTGTATGATTTCTGAACACCTATGTAGAGGGAAAGCTTTGATATCTGCTGGGGACAGTGATGTTACAGTGAACTGTACATAGATGAACCCTCATATACTTGCAGGCTGTCAAGGACCTTTTTGAAACAACGTGTGGTTGCAAAAAAATCATTCATTGTGAGATTGGCTCATTTTTAAAAACAACAGTTCCAGTTTTGTTTAAAACAAGTATGTTAGTGCGATTAGTTTTAGATTGTATTAGACGTTTCAGTCCACTAAATTCTCTTACCGCCCCCTTTTCTACTTCCATTTTGTTTCATACTTGTATTCCAAAATAGTAAATAATATAGTAACACGTTTGAATAGGCAATATATCTTTTACAGGTATACAGTATTGGATATGGCAGGTTTTTTCAACTGGGAATACTGTTTGTTTTGAGGTGGAATTGAATTTTGAACATTAGATATTCTGTGTCTTTGAGAGAAATATTTTCCTTGCACAACTCATTTTTTAATGAACTTATTTTTTGAGCATTGAGAAGTAAGTGTTAGCTGGAAGTTACGAGTGAGTCCTGTAAGAACTGTAGTGTTCTATGTCAAATTGCTTTTATTACAAATTTCTGAATAGACTAGAACAGACACTGTGTTGTTTCCATAAAATTAAAATTCATTATGCATTTCATAAAATCATTGAGGTTATTAAGCGATATCTTTTTAATCAGTAAAGGCACCTGAAAACCTTAATTCTTCTCTAAGAAGAAGAAAAATTGCAAAACTATGAAAGTGCTTTTAAAATTGGCATTACCTGATCTGTGACAGGATGCATCGGTGGTCATTGTCTGGTTCTCCTGGAAAATATTTGGATCTTTTGAATGTATATTTTTTAATTATTCTAAGTTTACTTTTGGATGTGAATCTCCTGGTACACATTCATGTTTATTGTCTGGGGGTTTTTACCAAAAAAATCTCTAATCCCTTACCACAAAACAATCCCTTATTACACCCTAATGTTTTCTGCTCTACATAAGTAGGAAATCTTAGTGAACAAGAGTTTAAAGGACTATGAAAAATCTGACCAAATTTAAAAGATTAGATATAGACTAAAACTTGAAGAATATCTAAAGCATAATGGCGTACCTAAATTTTACACTCTGGTATCCATGAAATTCTGGATTAAAAGAGGGAGGTCTCGCGAATCTCAGTATTTTGTTCTCAAAGAAGATGATAATTACAGAGTTTTGCAGTCATATTTAACTGGTTTGTGTTTTCTCTTTTAAGTGAGGAAAAGACTGAGCAGTTGCTTGACTGTAAACAAGAACTTGAACAGATGGAAGCTGAACTAAAGAGACTTCAGCAAGAGGTATGGGTTTTGTAAATCTTTTGTTTAAAAAAAAAGTGGACAAAAAAAAGTTGCCAGCCCCAGAACAATTACCCCCTCCCTTTTTTTTTTTAATTAGGAAGTATGTTTTCATGCATTTTTAAGTTTTGCATTCTGAACATGATCCTGTGTAATTTATTCCTTTATTAGGTCTAGTATGCTGGCAAAATACTGAGTTAGGTTAGTATTACTTCTCTAATTTTTTTGTTTCCACATTCAAGCAATTTACCACCAACATATCCTATAAGTGTACGTGTGCTGAATATTTCTCCAAAAAATGCACTCAAATTTTGCCTGATTTTCTTTATATTTTGAGTCTATGTGTTGATAAACATCTGACTCATGTATTATTAGGATATGAGTGTTTAAAATTATTGAGGGGTCATTTGAGAATATTATCTGTAAAAGAAATGTGCTGTTCTGAAATTTGCAAATGTATACATGTCTCTCCTTGAAAAAGACCAGTGCAGTTCTCTTGGAAATGTATCATCTGGACTGAGCCTCTGAAATTTTTTTTTTTTCTTTACCTTTCTCAGAATTAAGTTATATCCTTCTGCATTACCCTAGTTCAAATAATGAAGCAGCTGTGTTGTCCTTCAGCATGTACTGTCCAGTATTCTTGCCTTTAATTTCTGTATTTTTGTATTTTGTAGAATATGAATTTACTCTCAGATGCCCGTTCTGCCAGAGTGTATAGAGATGAATTAGATGCTCTTCGTGAGAAGGCAATTCGAGTCGACAAGCTTGAAAGTGAAGTCAGCCGGTATAAAGAGAGGCTGCATGATATTGAATTCTACAAAGCTAGAGTGGAGGTATATTAAGGAAAAAAAAAAACACTGAATAACCATCATTTTTTGTTTGCTGTGGCTTTTTCAAAGTCATTTTGATGGCTTAAACATTGGGATGTGAAAACAGTGTTAGCTTCTTGCTCTGGGATATATGATAGTCAATCTTTTGTTATAAATTACAGTTTTTAGGTAAGAGTCCCTGTGTCTAATGGTGTGTAGTTTCGTTTGAAGTCAGCAGTATTCACCATAGCTCTAAGCTAGTGAGATCAGTAGGAGCCTCTGTTTAGGATATATACTGTGTATTGAGAAACCCAAGGAGAAATTAATTAAAATATGCCATAAGTGTAATAATTTCTTTCTCCTCTTGTGGATTTTCTAAGAGAAGGTAATTTTCTAAGTAAAGTGTTGAGGAAATAGTGGCTATACTCATTTATGAGTATAAGACGACAGCATTCCACAGATAAAATATACTTAAAAAAAGATGCACTAACATCAGGAAGAGAGACAGTTCTGTCATGAATTAGAAGTTCAGGAAACAAATCATCAACATGAGGGACTTTATTAGGCCATCATCCTGTCTGTAAACGGCAGATTTGTTGGGCAGATGCCAAGGTGGCAAAATCTGTGAAAGAAACAATTACGTGTGAGAGTCAAAACTAATGAAAGTTTAAAGACATTTTCAAGATGGCCATTGAAAAAAAAAAAAAGACTCCTAGAAAAGCAGGTAGAACTCGAAACAAATGCTTGTTGGAAAAAATATTATGTTGCCTAGATGTAGTTGTTGAGGTACTGGTATGAAGCTCCTTCTCTAGGGTAAAAATGAGTAAAAAGCAAAACCGAGATACTAGGCTAAACTATGACACAGAATATTTTTACATGACATCTTCATTTAATGTGACCTCTTGGATTCACAGACCTGGATGGGATCTCAGGAACTCATTCAGTCCTTCTGCTTTAAGCATGGTATTTTTTCATATACCCATACCACTCCAAATTAATGCTTGGCATTAATTGGTGCTTTAAGATCTGAGTGATGAAGTGTCTGCAGCCTTTGGTATTCTTCTCTGAAGACTGTGACATGTCATGTGTCCTCTCTTCTAGCTCTTTGTGCTCTGCAGCCCCACAGCATTCTGCCTTACAAAGTTTTTTTTTGTGTTCTCTGGGTTCTATCTTAATTCAGATCTTTCTTAAAATTGAGTCCCTAAAACTGGAACTCATACTCTAATTATGGCTTTACCAGCTCTGAATACAGTGGAAAGATGAATTTTCTCTACACCTTGTAATATAGTAACATCTAAGCAACATCTCAACATTGTGATCTGTGGTAACCTCCAGATTTTCCTTCCACTGAACGTCTGCCTAGACATGATAGAATATCCCCAATATTCTATTTTTCACATCTGAAAAATATCATGATACTAATGACCAATGATATAGCATCCTCTGGAAAGAGACTTCTTCTTTGAATGTTTAAAAGTTAAAACCTTTTAATGAATGTATACTTCATATGTCACAGCATAAAATAGTTACTACTGATAAAAGCTACTGTTGATGAGAGGGGAAAAACTGCAAGGCAAACCCCAAGTCTTTTTAATGTTCAATTTTAGATCCTTCATGCAGAATTTCTAATAATAGCTTTAGTCAGAAATAAAGCATATCAATTGACCTGGGAGTTACTGGATTTTAATGGCAAATAAGATGGATAGTTTTTTCAAGCAAACAGCAGTGTAAAAAAGTTAACAAAAGGCTGGAGTGAGATAAGGTGCATGGTGCAGATGAAACATGGTTAAAAAGGCTTTAGACATTTCTGAAATGTAAAAAAAGTAATGGTCCCCAAGACTTTTTTTTTTTAAGATAACTTGTTCTTAGCCTTGCTTGTGGAAATTAATTTTATCATCTTACTGTGTAATGTGAAATAATCTGATGAAATTGGAAGAAGCTTTCTCAAGATACAGACTAAATACAGACCTTAACAGCTGTCATTGAAACATCCTTTCTTGAGGAGGCTCCAAAGCTGCCTTTGCATGCCACTTTAAAAACAAAGGCTAGTAACTACTTCCCAACTCTGGATCTTTTCTCAGTGTTTGATGTACTTTAAACAAACCATTGCTGTTCAACATGATGTCAGTGATAGAGGTCCAGTGCTGTGATACATGTTGTCAAATCTCAAAGATGTAGGCTGTTACCTGTATATGATGTAATAGGTTAACGTATATCGGTCTGTTTGAAAATCAGGTACTGAGAGTGGTGAGCGTTATCATCAGCCTGACTGTGTATGAGAAAACCTTTGCATGTGAGCTATTTGACAATCATCTTACATGAAGTGACTTCATAAACTCTCTATATCTGCTACTCTTGTAAGAGAAACGGAAAGCATATGGTTAAAAAAACAGTTAAAGGAGAAGAGATTAGTGAACAGCATTTGAAGACTGTGGAAATTTCATTTCCATAGGAAGTTTGAACTAGTAGAAAACCTAAAATTTGCTTACGTGTTTCATCACTTGTAAACTGATTTTTCAAGCATGCTTGAATAGAGACAGATGTTAATTAGTTGGTTTTGCTTCATCATCATCATAATAATTATAAGTTAACTTAATATTTGTGTGGGGAGGAGTAGGAAGGATAAATATTTATGTTATATTCACTGATCTTTTTTCAGATTTTGCAGCTGACTGAATACCGAAGTTTGAAAAGTTTTGTATTTATATCATGAGTAAAATTGCCAATTATATGTTTTTACATATTATTATTTTCATCAGATGCCATTAAAAAAATCCTCTATGTATATAAATTAAAGCTGTTTAGGACCTTTGAATACGGGTGGTTGTATTTTAAGAATGCGGTTGCATTTTCAGCATCATGTCCTGAACTTTGGGCTTAAGTAAGTTTGCCCAGTGGCCTGTAAACCTAATTATGTCCTGTAGAAAATGATTCTCTTAAGTTTACTTCTCCATTTCCTGTAACCCAAAGATTAAGTAGTTCAATCTGATAATAAGATAAATTATGGACTGAAAAGGAACATCTACATCCGTCTCCAGTCTTTGACAGCAGCCAATAGTAGATGCTTAGAGGAAAGAACAGGGCAAGCACTTGGTGATACCTTCCTGTTGGGCTCTCCCAGCCTCCAGCAGTCTCTGCTCAAGAAAGTCCTGCTCAGAGGTGGTACTTTTGAGCTCTTTCGCCTTCTCTTGCATGAATTTAGTAACTTCTCAACAGATGTAAGCTTTTTCATCTACACAATCATATAGCAATAAGCTCCACAATTCAGTTATGTGGTGTGTGAAGTACTTCTTTTGGTTTGTTTTGAGCCTGACACCTCTAATTTTTATTTGATGTCAGCCTTTTGCTTAGCTGTAGTCCATATATGTGCCATACATCTTTCCAGATCACATCTCAAGTCACGGAGATATTTAGGGTTTGGTTGTAATTATGAACACCTTATTCTTAATGGTTTCGGGACTATTTAATTTCTCTTAAGTTATGTAAAATTTTCTTTTCATAAAATTTTCATAAGTTAACAGTTACGTGAAATGACTGTAAATTTCTTTTTTATAAAAAGTCTGTTACAGCTTCCGAGTGAATGTTTTAGCATTAAAGCAACATTTAAAAAATTAGTTACGATGTGTATCAAAGTTTGTATGAATAAGGAAATACTTTTGGTTTGAGGTTTTTTTTGTTGCTTAATTCTTGCAGGAGTTAAAGGAAGACAATCAAGTGTTGCTAGAAACAAAGACAATGTTGGAAGATCAGTTAGAGGGGACCCGAGCCCGTTCTGATAAATTACATGAGTTAGAAAAAGAGAATCTGCAATTAAAAGCTAAATTACATGATATGGAGATGGTAAGTGTGAATGGAGGATGACAAAGACAACTGATATGCATTGAATTTAATTTCCATTTTTGATAAAGGAACTTACAGTCAAAATAGTAGGGGAGAGAAGGAAGGTATGTCTTGATTTACTTACACTTTTCAGATACAGTTTCCTACAGTAGCTTTGGCTCTGCCTAGGGAGGGAAAAATTGCAAAGGCAGTACGCTTCCTAAAGGCACTAGAGTGTTAGTGGATAGCTGAAATACAATTATAAGAAATACAGAGACTCATTAGTAAGAATGATAGGATCAGGTTTTTTTACATGAAGATAGTCTGTTGTCACTTAAATACTTAGATAAAAAAGGTTATTCATATTTCAAATTCTGGCACTATAGTGACATATTTATCAGAAGGTTATTCCCAGAATAATTTTTGGTTTTACACAGTTCTTCTCCAAAAAGTTAATATTCTAAAATATAAAGTCATACTTTGCCTGGGTGGAGTGGTTTTTTTGTTTTATTTTCCTTAAGAAGTGACAGATTATTGCCTTCTGTTTACTTTCATTTTCTACAAAATGTTGAGAGTTGCAGCTGCAACCTATACCTGTTAAAGTACCACGTGTGGGGAGAAGGATTTATAAAGAGCCAGGTGAGACACTCATCACAGGCTCAGTCCTGTTAATCGCTTTTTGCATCAAAGTAGTCTTATGATAGTTTAGAGAAGATAAAATCTTGCTTCTCAGTCCGTTTGGTTTTTGGGTGCTACCAAGCTGTGCTTATCATGTATACTTTCTTTGCTGATACTCGGAGAGAAGTGAACTTTGAGAAAGAGTAAGTAGGCATTGCCATAGGTTATGATGAAAAGAGGTTCTTCTCCGTATATTTTTCTTTACTGGTTGTTACACTTTTCTTCTAAGTTCTCAGTTCTTTTGTTTGTTCCTCCCTGTCTCACTGTGTATTAGCAAATCGGAAAATGCACTTTGCATTTCTGTGGCATACTAGATACTGAAATATTGTGTGTGTGTTGAGACTTTTTTTTTTAACACTACCTGTGAAATAATTTTTAAGGAGCGTGATATGGACAGAAAGAAGATTGAGGAACTCATGGAGGAAAATATGACTCTAGAAATGGCTCAGAAACAAAGTATGGATGAATCATTGCATCTTGGCTGGGAACTTGAGCAGATAAATAGGACTACTGAACTTTCTGAAGGTAAACACAGTAAACTTGCAAACTGACAAAATAGAAAAATTCAAAGCTCAGAGGCTGGACAGCATTAGGAAATTACAGGTCCTTATTTATAAAGCACAGAGTCTTTTGTCCTCTGGAGAGATGTGACAGTTTTGGGGGTGAGGTGTTTGGCTTTGTTTGTTTCCTTTTGTTGTGGTTTGGTTTTGGTGTTGTGTATTGTTTGTTCTTTTTTTTTTTTTCACTCATTCCCATGTATCCTTGGCGATACAGCCTACATGAAAAGGCTCTGTTCTTGTGATTTTTGTTCAGTTAAACAGAGGTGTAAAACCTGTAAATACCTTGGAGTTGCATTGTGTTGCCATTCAGACATCTATACTGTAGCCCAGATTATGAGTCTTCACGCTTTACTGTTCTCAGAGTTAAGAAAGATTTGTTAAGGCTTCTCAGACTAATTGTTTGCAGAGATAGCTGTGGCAAAAATTTTGATTCTTCCAATATAGCGTGCTTGGTCATGCACTGGATCCCATACAAAGAATTTGTGGAAGTTTAGAGATAATATCCTCAGTTGCAGGAAGCAAATCTCTGCTGTGAATAGGAACATTAGGATGAGTAGAACATTTCCTTTTACGCATCAGCAGTGTTATCTGTTGGGTAAGGAGGATGGCTCATTAATCCTAACTAGCTCTATTCACCAGGAAAGCATTGGAGGACCATCAAAGGCTTCTAAATGCCCTAAGTCTAAAAATACAAACTCCAAGAATTCCAGGTACTAAGTGACTTCTTTTTTTAACAGTGTTTTTCCTCTTACAGTGCCACAGAAATCACTTGGTCATGAAGTAAATGAACTGACATCAAGCAGGTTACTGAAGTTGGAAATGGAAAACCAAAGTTTGCTGAAGACAGTGGAAGAACTACAAAGTGCAGTGGGTTCTGTAGAAGGCAGTAGTTCAAGGATTCTGAAAATGGAAAAAGAAAACCAAAGACTTAGCAAAAAGGTAATCATCAGCGTATGTTTGAATTGTGTATGAGTTACCTATGTTGCTTGCCATTTTCTTCCTAAAGGGTAATTTTATGAATTGCTGTTATTTTGGGTAAAGTATTACTAGGGTCTAAATGGTCTTACAGTGTTTGTAAGTTTATGTTAAAAAAAGAAACCACCTCAGAGATGTATCTCTCTTTTTTAGTTATGCTTTTTTACTGATGTAAGATTGTGACCGTTTTATTCAGAAAGGTCTTGTACCAGTGAGGGGAAAAACATTAACATATTGGGGACATAATGAGTAATGAAAGTGTTTTATGATACTTGAGAACATTATTTTAATTTTTGTAATTATTAAGCAGGGGAAAGTATGTGTACATAGGTGAAGATTGGCTGATAAGTCAAAGCAGAAAACTTGGTCATATGTCCTCATTCGTAACTGAGAAAGAGAGAAGATGGGCCAAGGAATTGATGAGCAAGTGAATGACAGCAGTTTGTCAGATTTATCTGTGCTGATCTACGATGTTTTACTCTCCAAATTATGTATATCAGGTAGAGTAATTTAGTCAGTGATTTTTACAGAGAATAAAAATTGGGAAAAAACGGGGACTAATTACAGTGGAGTGAAATGTCTAGTTTCTGAAACAGCTTTTACTTCAGCAGATATTTCAGATGACTATTCTTAGAGAAAAGTGGGTAAGAGATAGTTTAAAAAAAAGATAAATTGAAGTAAATTCCTGCAGTATTCCATACTTTTTCTGATTTCTTAACATTTTAGTATTTTTTGCAGCAGCCTGTTTGCTGCTTTGAGTTTCTGTACAGTACCAGGGGACAGCTAGGAGGGTACAAAAGAAAGGAATAGATATAAGAAGCAAGCAATAGTAGGTCCTTGTGGTTGTCTGATACTGTTCTTACCGCTTTGGATGTCTGGCAACTTGTCCTTTTTCTGACTTGCCCCTAAAAACAGTGTTCTGAACCGTAATCATTTCAGCAAAAAGTGTGAAGCTGAACAAAATGTCTGTTATGAATGTTGTATACATAGTCTACTTCTATCTGGACACGCTTTCTCTTAAAACAAGCTGCTAGTATAGAGTCTTATATGAGATACCGTGACCGCAGGAACTCCACTCCCAGTGCCCAGTTGGCAGCTGGGCAGCCGATGGATAGATTTGGTTCCCAGACGGAGCCCGACTGCATCCCTGCTGGGTTGATGGAACCAGTTACTTCTTCTTTGCAAAAACCAGTGAAAGTGCCAATATCCTTGTGAAACACGCATTAGTCTGCTAAGCAAGGGACCAGGAAAATCTGAATTTGAGAGGAAGAGGGAGAGGAACGCAAATAACTGGTCAAACGTTAGTATTCTCATCCTAAGAGAAGGACTTAATTCAGGTTCTGGCCTAATTGATGCCATGCTTTTTGTGTATTTGGGATCAACAAATTGTTTCATGGAGGAACAAATTCCATTCTACTACCTTTTTGTGATTTATATTTCTCGGTATTATTTAGCAGCAATTTAATGTATAATTCGGATAATTTGTTTCTAAAAGTATTCCCCCTGCCTGGGGTCCAACTTATGTCTGGATTCCTCCAAGACTGGGTAATGTGGACGATGGACTTGACATAGAATATAAACCTTCCAGCAGATAATTGTTCAAAAATACAATGTGTGTGTTGCTTCTAAGGAACTAATTATAACTTAGATGTGACAGAAGAATCACGCTTGGTTATTTTCACTTGTAAACAGTTTTGTTGTCTGGCAACATTGTGAGTTGGAACCATTTGACAAAACAAATTATATATTTAATTCCCAAGGAATCATTATAAATATCTCTTGAAATAGTTAAGTAAAATCAAACAACATTCAACCCCTGTAAGTTAAAAGGGACTTGTAGGAGCAGTATGAATCTCTCTAAAATGGAATTTTAAGAGAAAAAAAAATGGTTGGGGAAAATACCCAGAGCCTAGTAAAATCTGACCTTTCTTTTATGCAAAAGTACTTTAGAGATACAATCTTCTGAGCCAGGGAGAAAATTCTGGCAGAAGTAAATTTAATCCTAGAAGAGATTAATTGTTTCAGGTAAAGAATAAAAAATTCAATTTTATTCTTTCCTTTAACCTTCTTTATTCACTTCTGTAAGGGTACCTTCAACCCAGCTAAGAGTAATACTATTGTCATTTTTAAGTACATTTTTTAAAATTTGTTTCTTTTTCCCTAGCTTGAAGAGCTAGAGAATGAAATTAGCCAGGAGAAACAAAGTCTTCAGAACAGTCAAAATTTGAGTAAAGATTTAATGAAAGAAAAAGCACAGCTTGAAAAGACACTTGAAGCACTTCGAGAAAACTCAGAGCGACAAGTGAGTAGCAGAATCGAAAGTTTTAATGCTGCATTGTACTGTACTGTTCTCCTTTCATACTTTTTTTACAGGCATAAAGGGATTGTAAATGTAGCAGATTTGCCAAAAGGACCTATCTGCAGTAAAATAGCTTGTCTAAGACCTGCAGCCAGTGAGAGACATGACTCATTTTTAGCTGAGGCTTTACTGTTAGTTTTAGAACTTTTTAGTGTTTTGTAATGCTTCCGTGGCTTTTGTGGGCTATGCATTTGCTATAGTTGCTTAGAGGGTGTAGCTCAGCCAAAATAGAAAATTGGGAACTTTGGAGGTAAGCCAGACACCTCTCAATGGAGGAAAACAGGTTCCAGACAGCTGGTCAGTGTTTGAAGTAATGTCGGATTATTAATGAGAATTACAGCAGCCTGTCCCTCGAAGGGACCTGACAGAGACCAGTGCAGCAGAGCTGCTCTGCTACTCTGCTGCTGACCCTCTTTCTCTGTTGCTCACGGTCTTGTTTATCTGGGGTAGGAACCGTCATATCCAGCTTCATAATATTCCCTTATACTAGAATGTTTTCTAGCTGTGACTTGTAGGTGGATAGCGGAATTTATTTTTGGTTGCCAGAAACTGGCATCTGGGTCTTTGTAAAAGATACGAACTGTATTTGGGAGGGTACTGAATGTTGCTGGGGTATCTGTATCTAATGGGTGTTGATACCTTCTAAAGGTCTTTGCAGAGTAATTCAGAGGACCTGTGGAAGGCAGCCACTAGGAAACAAGAGTTATGGAAATTTCTGGAAATCCCATATTTAGTGATCAAGTCCTTCAGAATTAGAACTGTAGTTACCTTTTGTAAATTGCACCGATACTTCTTGATGAGATTGACATGTTTTAGTTTAATTTAGAAGTACAATGTTTTGGAATATAGAATATTGTATTTTTAAAAATGCTGAAAATTTTTAAAGGCCCAATTTAATCAGTAAATGAAATTCCAGACTTAGAAAAGAAAGCAGGAAAAAAACAAGCTTAGCACTGAAGCTTTACTTTCATTTAAAAAGAACAGTGGGGATAATTTTAAATAAAATATGCCAACTTTTCTCATTTAGAAGTGTACATTGTTAATATTGATTTATACGTTGTATTAGAAGTGTACTCTAGGGGAAAAAAGGGCTAAAACTTTCTGGAATAAGTCATAAGTCCCAGTTCAACCATCAGGGATATGTATGTTGTTTAAACGTGTTGGAATAGGACTGACATTTCAGTGGGACTATTTCTGCTTTAAAATAATATACTTAGGAGTTGTGCTGGGTTAGCAGCATCTTTCATGTCTTTCACAAATCCTGTGCTGAAACTTACTGGAGTCAACTGTACAAAGTTCATTAGATTTCACCAAAAATTATGGAGGCATTGATCATGATTTTTTGTTAAGTTTGGATTATGGAAGCAGAATTCATGAAAAGTAAATATGCGGTTGAGTAACATACCAGGTTATGTAAAGAAGTGTCACAAAGTTGTGTTTTTAGACACCTGTTAATTAGTTTCTCATTAATCATTTCAGAACAGTTTGTCATTGCTGGGAATGGAGCCGTAGATCTTGTAATTAATAGTTACATTCAGAATTAAATATGAAAGAACAGTCTATAATTTTCTCAGTCTGTTTTTCATTGCAACTAGCACTTTTGCTTTTCTCCAGAACAGTTTATTGTTGAAACATCCTTTATGCTATGTTATTAGTGTATTCTTAAATATTGATCTAAACAGTTTTCTGGATTTTGCAGTCTCTTGTTACGTATCCAAATAATTTGAAATTATTTGGAGTAACTGAAATAGTCAAGAAATACTAAAAATTAAGATGTAAACACTGCCTTTATCCTTGAAGTAGATCTGGGAATATGTTACCTAAGAAAATAATTCAGTTCCAATATGATTTACTTTATGTGGAAGCTGTTTTGGAACTGCATGTCCACGGGTTCTTTTTAACTCAAAAATTAATGCAACTTTGATGTGTTTCTTCCCAAAATGTTATTGACTGTGATCAGGGCATCCTCATACCCCTCCATTTTTGCCAAGTGAAATAAAGACACTTTTGCGGCTCCCATACCTCCCTCCATCTCAAATTTGGTTTAGAACTTGACTGCGGTTTTGTTCTTTGTGGACACACATCTCTGAAAATTACAGTGTTTAAGAAAAATAATCTAGATCTGGCTAAACACAAATTAAAATGAAATGACACCAAGAAATAGATACAGCTTTAACTTGGTTTGTGCTTTGCTAGTTCTATTTTTATCTATTAATATCCAAGAAGAAGATATTTGAAGATTCACTTTGACTTATTTTGTTGTCAGACTTCCACCTGTGTACATACACGATGTTCATAATGCTTCAAATAAATAACAGTAGAGTAAAAGAATTTTTTTTTTAAAACTTAAAAGGAAAATATGATGTAATATTGGTTAGTAGCTTTCAGTTTATATATGGAAGTAGTTACTTGTTGGCATATTGTTCACCAGAGTTTACAATTTTTCTACCCAAATTAGATTAAGCTATTAGAACAAGAAAATGAACATTTGAATCAAACTGTAGCATCTCTACGACAACGCTCACAAATCAGTGCTGAAGCGAGAATGAAAGAAATTGAAAAAGAGAATAAAATCCTTCATGAGTCTATTAAAGAGACCAGCAGTAAGTTAAATAAGATTGAATTTGAAAAAAAGCAAATCAGGAAAGAACTGGAACACTATAAAGAAAAAGGGGAGAGAGCAGAAGAACTTGAGAATGAGCTGCATCATCTGGAGAAGGAAAATGAATTATTACAGAAAAAAATTACTAACTTAAAAATTACTTGTGAGAAGATTGAGGCCTTAGAACAAGAAAACTCAGACCTGGAAATGGAAAACAGAAAACTGAAAAAAACTTTGGATAGCCTAAAAAATCTCACTTTTCAGTTAGAATCCTTAGAAAAGGAGAATTCACAACTTGATGAAGAAAATTTAGAATTAAGAAGAACAATTGAATCCTTGAAGTGTACAAGCATTAAAGTGGCGCAGTTACAATTAGAAAATAAGGAACTGGAGAGTGAAAAGGAACAACTTAAAAAAAGCCTTGAACTCATGAAAGCCTCATTTAAGAAAACTGAACGCTTGGAAGTCAGCTACCAAGGCCTAGACACAGAAAACCAAAGGCTACAGAAAGCCCTTGAAAACAGCAATAAGAAGATTCAGCAATTAGAAAGTGAATTACAAGATTTAGAGTCTGAAAATCAGACTCTGCAAAAGAACTTAGAAGAGTTAAAAATCTCTAGTAAGCGCCTAGAGCAATTGGAAAAGGAGAATAAGTTGTTAGAACAAGAGACTTCCCAACTGGAAAAAGACAAGAAACAGCTGGAAAAAGAAAACAAAAGGCTTCGACAACAAGCAGAAATTAAAGATAGTACTTTAGAAGAAAACAATGTAAAAATCAGTAATCTGGAAAAGGAAAATAAAACTCTATTTAAAGAAATAGTTGTATATAAAGAGTCATGTGTACGGCTGAAAGAACTAGAAAAAGAAAATAAAGAACTTGTGAAAAGAGCTACCATTGATAAGAAAACTCTTGTCACTTTACGAGAGGTAAACAAAAATTAGTTACCATTCCCATTGTAATCTGTTTGTAATGTAGAGAAATTATATCTGTATTTTTGAAAATAAGTTTGTATCTTCTGTTTTTCATGCTTTAATCTGTATACTGTTAGCATCTTTAATGGTTACAGTAGGGAAAGTGTTAGATAATCAAAATTTTTATAATCGTAATAATCAAATGGAATAATATATTACACTTGAATTCTGTAGGGTTGCTTACAGGCTGTCATGGAGCCTTTGTTGAGTGAACGTTGTTCAGATTCTTCCTGATAGCATTTGTTCTGGCTGAAACATTTCCCCTTCACCGTAATGTTCCAGACCAAATTTGAAAGGGAAATTCTACAGAAAGGCAGTAAACGACTGCAGTGAAATCATATTATAGTTACAATGCAATGTCCAATATAGCTGAAAGCTAACGATTGGAAGGAGAGGAGAGCTAACATTGAGTTACGCAAGTCATGTAGTGATAAAAAACTTTTGCCTCGGCACTTCTAGAATTAAGACTACGTTGTTTTATTTGTGTGATCATACTGATTAATTTTTTGTGTGTAAGGACTTGGTGAGTGAGAAATTGAAGACTCAACAAATGAACAATGATCTGGAAAAACTTGCCCATGAACTTGAAAAAATAGGCTTAAACAAGGAGCGTCTCTTGCATGATGAACAGAGCAGTGATGACAGGTAAGGATGTCATGGCCTACCTGGAGCAATGTAGAAATGAGGGTCTTTTTTATTCATAAAGATAAAATGGTTTTACAGACTAGTTTTGTGCGTACTCTCAGATTTTTAAGGCACACTAATAGACCCAAAATGGAACTTGGTGTTCTCTGAAATTAATAAGGTAGTTGACGTGCTTTCACATTCAGCTGTCTGTGAAAGCAAGTTGCTGCTTTTTGTAACTAAGAAATTTCTTGAAGTATGTCAGTAGGTACAGTTAATGTATAATTAAAATGTTTTATGTTCGAGTTAGCAGCAGGAACAGTAAAAGATAATAGGCCTGAAGTCGTTTTTTTTTTCCTTTTTGACTGCTTGACTGATAGAAATGTTTGTTACGTTTTTGTCACATAGTGGTTACCTTAAACTGCCTCGCTCTTGCCTTACAACTGTTTCCTTCATTCTTCCTACCAAAAGGAGGCTGCGTTCCCGCTTACACTGGCTGGGAAGTATCCAGTACTTGAGCGTCTCCAAAACTTCATACTGGCTCTTATCA